AACCCCACACCTACTGGACTTTGAAGGTGGTTAAGTTGGGGACAATATCGGTGTTGTTAGTAGTGGGCCGCTGGCCCGTCTCTCTAAAATTTAACATATATATTATTCATATTCTGTAATTTTTTCAGTCCCTAGAAGTGCTTTCTGTTATGGCTGTGATACGTTTGGATGGTGATGATGATGGTGATAAAGTTCAGCCTACTTTATACAGTGCCTTGCTGGATAAAGAAATGAGTACCACAACATATGACCTACTAGCTTCAAATACTTGGGAAGAGGTGACCCTTGTTTTGTGCCTTTTTTTTTTTTGCTTAATTTAAAACACAGATACTGATATTCATTTATTAATATATTCAATTTTATCCAATTTTATTATTATTATTTTTTATACAAATGATATTCTACTTTAATCTAAATTACGGGGAGACGGTTTCGAACTTGGGTGCAGAGTGGAGAACACATCCGCTCTAACCAACTTGACTAAGCCCATATCTGCATATCCACTCTTAATTTATTAATATTCAAAGATATTGCATACTAGATTAAGTAGAAAAATGTTTACAAATAAGATTGGGAGGGCTGGAGCAAGCTGGGCCGCATTGGGCTTGAGTTTAAACACTTGACCTAATCGGCCGCATTGAGCTTGAGTTTAAACACTTGACCTAATCCCTACCCCACGCAAGGCCAGCTCTCCCATGGCTATAGCCAAAACGGACTTTGACCCATTGAATTTGGGCCGGGCCTCAAGCTCTCTCTCTCTCTCTCTCTCTCTCTCTCTCTCTCTCTCTCTCTCTCTCTCTCTCGTAAGACCATATATAAGGTTTTATGACTTTCCCCTTCCTATACAGGTTCCAACATCAAAAACATTGATCATACCTCTTAAATGCAAAGAGTTGTGGAAGGAATTCAAGGAAAAGACCAAGGACATTGTTTCGGAGGCCATTGTTGAACAGGTATGATATCTCACCTACTAATAAATTATATTATATATATATATATATACTAAAGCCCAATGCAACCAGATACTATTCATAAGCACTGTTTCTTGAATAGTAAAATGACAGAAAAACCCCCGTTTCACTATAAAGCCCAATATAATCAGATACTATTCATAAGCATTGTTCCTTGAACAGTAAAATGATAGAAAAATCCCCGTTTCATTGTTACAAAGTCTTATTTTTTCCAGCAATACAGTAAATTGTCGATTTTACCCTTTTAAAATTTTTTCCTTATGTTCCCTTTTTGCCCCTCTCTCTTTGGATGCTAACTCTCCCCACTGTTTCGTTTCCACAGAGCGATGCCACTATTTAGATGTCAATGTACATATAAACAAAGCCATGTTTCCTACTTATTTTACGACTTTATACACATTTGACGCAATTTCAAAACCCGTAGCATCGCGCGGGCGCCGTTGCTAATGGAAACTATATGTGAACTATAAATAGTTTTGTTTTGTCTCCCATAATGTGTTATTTGATCGCCTGCTGTTATGGAACTATGGTTAAAGTCTGTTTCAGGTTTTCTTTAGGTTTAGATAAACTTCCTCATGAATGATGCGTTTCATTAGCTTAAAAATCTCTCTGACTTTAACTTACTGACACTCATACCTAGTCCATTAATTCAACATGCTGTTTTACTTTTCAGGAGGCCTACGCGCGTTTTCAACTACCTCCTTGGGCAATTGGCTGTTTGATTTTCGTGGGATACAATGCCATTATGAGACTAATAAGGTAACACACTAGTTCCCCTACACTACACACGAGGATAGATGATGTTCTTTCTACTATATATATATATATATAGAATTTTATATATACAGTACTAGTACCTCTACCATGTTCAAATTTATTCCTCCATGGATGCAGTAATCCTTTGTGTCTGGGTGTGGGTGTCATCCTTGTTGCTTTTTTACTCTTCAAGCCCATATGGGTGCAGGTTTGCCACAAGGGTTATGTGAGTGTCACATTTTATTTTAATGATTGTCTATCACTCTCCCTTCTCCTTCCCACCTTACCATACGTATAGACACTGGTACTACTTGTATAGCATGCTTTTCGCCTCCACTGCTTGTGATTTTAACACTCCTCGTTTCACCTCCTGCACTGAGTGTCAAAAAAAAAAAAAAAAAAATAGTTTTGAGTGCAACTGGCTAAAGCAGGAGTGCCAAAATTACTGGTTTTGTGGCGATTCTGGAATAGGTCTAGTCATGTACTGAGACCTTAACTTGCTCATTCATAATAATAGATTTGTTATGATTTCAGGTGACGGTAAAGAGTGTGAACACAACAACTGTATAGTGGGCTTGGCGGTATGTTATTGGAGAAATGGTTGCATGACCCCGATCGACTTTATTTCAATCAAACCAACAAAAACTAAAAACTAACAAATTGTTAGCTGAAGTCCCAAATAAGTGGAATTGAATACTAAAGTGGAATTGTTGTACTGTTGTACTATTAATTATGAATTTTGTTTTCTACTGTAATTTTGAATTTTATTTTGTATTGTTATTTGAGATATTTAGTCATATATCCATTTTTAGCACTAAAATTATAAATAAAACCTATGTTATTTCTTGTTATAAATTGAAGACTACAACTACATAGCTATCATACTAAACTTATTTGTTTTAGTTTTTGTAACGATTTCTTGCAACTTAATTTTATCTATGTTAAATTGCAATTTTTTTAGTTTGTTTTAGAAATAATATTATGGGTTAATTACAGTTTAGTACCCTGTGGTTACACCCTTAAGACATGTTAATCCTTATCTTCTCAATTTTTACAATAACATACCTAGACTTTTAAATTTATTATAATGTGTTCCACCGTTAGGGCTTCGGTCATATCTCTCCGTTAGTTGCTTACGTGGCACTGTGGGTCCCATATTTTTCAATTTTTATTAATTTTAAATTGATTAAAATATGAATAAAATATTAAAAACCAAAAATAAATCTCTCTCTCTCTCTCTCCCCATGCCCAGTGCCCACGAACCCAGAACCCATCTCCCCCCCTGCGATTTTCTTCTTCCTGCATCAAACTGACATAAAATTAAGAGATATTTTGCTCGAAATTGAGGATTAAAACACAACAAGAAATGAAGCCCCATGAAGGATGAACAAACTAAAAACTAAAAACTAAAAATGAGTAAGTTTAGGCAAAACATTGAGAAATCAAATCAAAGCTGGCACAGCAATGAAATATAGATATGCCCACTGGAAAGGATGAACAACTGAAAATCAATGAACCATTTGTCAATATCCAACAGATTAAGCCATCAGACAGGAAAGAAATTGTTTACACAATTCAAATTCAAAAAATCCAGAACATACAGAACTTAAACTTGGGGTATCAAGAAAGCTTCATCAAATTAATTGAATCAAAACAAAAAGTTCGGCCAGTGGCTTAGGGTTTTCATTTTGACTACATTTGGCCCATAAAGTCGCGGCGCTGAATGATCTTCAACTGGGCATCGGGGGTCTGAACCGGGTCGCGGGTCTTGATCGCTTCAAGCCAGTCATGGCGGTCCCGAAGCTTCGAGATATCCAGAAAGAAGTCCCTTTCGATTATCTTCTCGATCGCGGGACAAAGGTGTCTTCGTCGAGGACTGTGGGATGGCCTCTAGGGTTTCTAGAAGTGATTTGGGAGGAACTTCTTGGCATTTGGACGGAACTATCGGAAATTGCGATTGAGGGTTTTGGCAAGAATTAAAGGATGAACTTTTCCTTTTAGGTTTAGGTTTTGAGCTTTCCTCTCCGTGGGTTCTGGGTTCGTGGTGTTGGAGGGTGGTGGTCATGGGGAATGCAGGGAGGAGAGAGAGAGAGAGAGAGAGATATATATATATATATATATATTTAAAATTTGGTTTTTTATATATAAATATTTTATTCATTTTTTAATCAATTTAAAATTAACAAAAATTAAAAAATATGGGGCCCACAATGCCACGGAACCACCTTGTAACAAATTTAAAATTTTGGGTATGTTATTGTAAAAATTGAGAAGATATGGATTAACATGTCTTAAGGGTGTAACCGCATTGTACTAAACTGTAATTAATCCTAATATTATTCTACTCAAGTATCAATGAAGATCAGCTTCTACATCCCAAAAGATAAGTATTTTACAATACTTCTATTAATTTTATTTAATCTACTATATCAATGTAAATTACAATTTTCTAATATATATTTTCTATGATGTCTTGCGGAAAAGCAGAATCCATAGACCAACTTTTCCAACAAATATTACGTGTATGGAATGAGATACCTCAAGCAATTAATGAAATGAGGCACCTCGCTAAGCGATTGATGGAATGAGGTGCTTCACTAAAGCAAAATGGCGTAATATGGAAGTTAAAAAAGAACGGTCAACATTTTCGCCACGGGGCTTGTTGGCACCAAGCAACACTTTCCACTTCTCTTATTTCAAATACGCACGTTATTTCATCAGCAGCAAGCAAGCTGTCGCCAAGAAGCTCTTCCGCTTCACATTTTTGAATCGCCATGGATGCTGCTGCCAGTACTCCAAACAAGAGCAACTCTTTATTAGGAAATGGTGAGTCTTTATATACCCTACTATTATTAATTAGATCATGATCATGCTATTTTTACTTCGTTTGATCATTCGATCCTCATCCATGGCTATGCACGCTACACTAATTAACTAGTATATAATATATATATATATACTATATAGGCGCTTCTCCATTGCGGAATTGAATTTTTGACCGTGCGATTGATTTGAACGGTTCACATATATTCTTCCTCTTCCCGAGTTTGCTCTTCTCTCTGCTCACTCCTCTTTCTTTTTTCTTTCCTTTCCTTCTCTCCGCCAGTTTTCTTCTCTCTTGTCATCTGGTGATTTTTTTTTTCTTTTCTCAATTAATTAATACTCTTTTTTCTTTTCTTTCTCTCCCACAACACTAATTGTCACAGTCTCACAGACCCATTCGCTCCCCCCTCCCTCTGTTTTTTGGTTGTTCTAGCTGCTGTCAGTGAATCGAAGAGGGCGGAATTTGAGATTGCTTCCTTGACATCTAGAGTAAATACAGTGGCCTGCATGTAGGAAAGAATATGAGATTGCTTCCTTGATATCTGTTGATGGCAGAATTATAGGAGATGACTTCGTGGTGTTCTTTTTATTCGGGGGACTTCTCTCTTGAGATAGCAATAACAAAAATTAGTGTTGGCGGAGAGAAAGAAAAAAGAGAGAGCCAACTAGCCAGATCACCAGATGACAAGAGAGAAGAAAACTACTAATGGGACAATTTGGTATTTAATAACAAATAAAATGGAAGGGTCGACCTGTCTCACGTTGACCGCACCCTATCTAGAGATATTGCTTTTGTTTGATTATTCCTGTCTACCGTATTTCAGCATTTCTTCTCCCGTGAGCGGTGATGGCTGCTGCTCTACTCTGCTTGTTGGTGGTGACAGAGAGTTCAATGTCACTGGATTTAAAAAGTTTACGAAATTCACAAAGTTTGCTAACGTTGGACTTTCTTATCTTGTTGTCGCCATTATCGGCCCACAAAGTAGTGGTATGCATTCTTACTTACCTTTTAATCTTCATTTCTGCCTTGGTTGAGAATTCACAAAAATATCACTCTGGTGAATAAGATGAAGCTAAGTTTTGAAATTCTGCTACCATGTTTTGAAGCTTAATCAGATGGAGCAGGGTTTACAAATTACGATATGTTTTTGGTCATTCTCTGTTTTCTGATCTGATATTGATACATGATTGATATATGACAATGTCTTTTTAATACTAATCATCTGTCCAGGAAAGAGCACACTACTAAACCATTTATTTCACACCAACTTTAAAGAGATGGACGCTTATAGAGGAAGGCAAGTACTGTGCGCACAATGATCAACATTAAACTTTGGGTTGTGTTTTCTTTAGTGACCTTGAATATGATGGGATATGCTTTTATTCCAGGTCTCAAACAACAAAAGGTATTTGGGTGGCAAAATGTCCCACCAATCACCCTTTTACTCTTGTTATGGACATGGAGGGTACAGATGGGAAACAACGAGGAGAGGTGCTTTTAGTTTTCATCATCAAATTTCAATTTATGGCCATGCTTGAATTTATTGTCATTACCAGTTTTCTGTTCATAGCCAACACACGAATCCGTTGCTGGATAATAAAATGTATTCATGCATATATATTCTACTTATGGCTTTCTAGATTATCAATTTTTATCTCTTTGACTGCCGCTTCATCTTACTTTAAAAACCAAAAAATGCATAACTCTATCAGGATTGCTTGTCATGGTTGCAATCTACTTAATTGGAATTTGGTTATTTCTTTACAGGATACAGCATTCGAGAAGCAGAGTACTCTTTTTGCCCTTGCTGTAGCAGATATAGTGCTCATTAACATGTGGGGTTTTTATTTTTCCCCTTCTTTATTGACTGTTTGGATTTGTAATATTTTCCCTTGTCTCTGTGAGTAATCTTCTTTAGCAATTTTTGGGTAGATGGTGCCATGACATTGGCCGTGAGCACGCTTCAAATGTGCCTCTCCTAAACACTGCGTTCCAGGTATTTTCTTCCTCCCTACAAATTTCAGAGGCTTGATTTCTTGAACTTTATGCTTGAATTTGCTAACAGATGATGATGCGATTGTTTGGTCCTCGCAAGACAACCCTGATCTTTGTCATCCGTGATAAGACAAAGGTTCCTTCTTCTCTTTTAGTATTTCTCTGTGATTTGAGATGGAACCAATTTGCATTTGTCTTTGTTATTCATTTTGGTAGTCTGTTGCATCGTTTCCTTCCTTGGTATAAGGCCATTCCACTCTAGGCTGAGTTTTGATAGTGTAGTTATGCTTTTTTGTTTGTAGACGCCACTGGAGAGTTTACAAAGCGAACTTCAGAACGACATTCAGAAGGTTAACTAATTTGGTGCTTTATTTGTTGTTGCCTTACTTTTAATGTTGTTGTTTGTTAACCCCGTCTCTCCTTTACTGCAGATATGGGAGTCTGCTCCTTGGGCACCATTGCCTTACTTTTAGTTATCTTGATACAGAGGACAGTTGTTGTTTGTTAACCCCGTCTCAAATGTTGCTGCATATTGTATTTCACTAAAACTTCGTCGACTACCTTAAAAAATGTTTCTGTTCTCTGTCATTTGTCCCTTGCCATTTCCTCTCTCATCTTTTGTTGCATTCCAGTTTTTCCCTAAAGAAACCAATTGTCCCATTTCTATTTTTTATACTAAAATGCCTAGTATTCAAATTTATGCATCTTATGCAGGTTTGCCCTTTTTTCTTTGTTCAAATTTATGTAACTTAAGTTTGTGAATGAAAGGTTGCTTGCATGAGGCAGAAACTCTTCCATCATAATAAACTTGCTGGAGATCTTCCTGCTTCAGGATTTTCTTTGAGTTTACAGGAAATTTGGGAAAAAATAAAAAAAGACAGAGATCTTGATATTCCTTCCATCAAGGTAAAACTGTGAATACAACTTTTTTTTGGTCGAAATCTGTGAATACGATATATGCATGTAAATTTGAACAAGTCATCCACAACTCTTCCGTTGCAGGTCATGGTGGCTACAGTAAGTTGTGAAGAGATTGCCAATGAGAAGTATTCTGCTTTTGCAGCAAATGAGGTACCTGTTTTTCATATATTGCCATATTTTCCATCTTCTTCAATTCTAGTTGGATAGCCTTGAATTGCTTTGGAATTATCACAGAAGTGTATTCAGTTGAATTATCCTGGCTTTGGAAAGAGGCAGAGTTCAATGATTGATGCTTGTATATCGGAGTGTGTATCTTTCACTTATATTTCTCAGCTTGTTGTAGGCTACAGGATAAGATTATATTTCTCACCTTTTGCCTTATGTGGTTGAATAGTTCTTTATATTTAGCTTAATTTGTTTTTACAATTCTAGGTATGATGAAGAGGCTACATACTATGATGAAGGTGTCAAATCCGTAAAGCGCAAGCAGCTTGAAAAAAAATTGCTGCATGTAATGAATCTCGACATCATTCTTGTTGAACCATATATTACTCATTGTTCCCCTTCCCCACTCTTTCCTCGTGCTATAGATGGCTGAAATATAGCAACGCAACCAAGACTTAACGGTTTTGGACTTGCAGAAAATTTTGCATCAAAGACCAAATTGTGTTTGTTATTCCTTTGATTGTGGTTGATACAATTTCTGTCATGACTCATCCTCTAATCTGTGCCATGCATGTCGATCAGGGATGTACACATTTTACAGTGAGGCGGCCAGTTTGAACTGATTTGACATAAATTATCCTCTCTTTTTAAGCTTCCCGTTTTAATTATCAATTCGATTTACATATCTTTCTTCTATTATTGATTGGTTTCACTGTCTTATTAGCTTGTTAAACGTGCATTCCAAAAGCTGCTGGAACTTAAAAGATCTTCTACTCTGGATAAGTTCAAGGAAGCATTTGATAAGGCCTTGGACGGGGTCATCAAGGGATTTTCTGTGACTGCTCGTAACTTCACCGAGTCTTTTATGGCTCAATTTGACGAAGGCTGTGCAGGTATGTTTTGAGAATGGCATTCCTTTAGCCAAAATTGGAAACTCAAGGATAAAATGCAAAAACTGAAATACATAATAAAAGAAACACTTCAAAACCATGAAGCCAAGATAGATAAGTCACAAGACAAATTGAAATTTATCCTTGTACACTCAAACACATCTTACGTACAAGCTGACTTCCTGCTAGTCTGTTGTCAATTATGGATCAAGAGATAATACTGGAATACTTAATAAGTTATAAAACCAAATACACTAACCTTGTTCAGCCAAGAAAGATTCCTCATCTTTGGATAGAAGAAAAATTCCTGCTAGTCTACAGGCAATTGCATGATGAATTACTCGCATCTTTGGGCAGAAAGTTATTCATCATGTATTTGCTTGTAGCACAAGTTTGATCATGAATCTTTGAGTGCATAGATCTTGCAATGTATTGAGTTGCTTTGGCTCACTTAATAATACACTGCAAGATGTTTGCAAACAACGATCATGGATCTTTCTTGCTACAACAAAATAATAGCTTTATACTGTTGCCGTGCCAAAATTTTCCTGCAAACATTATCAAGCTTTCAGTTTTACAAGCTTTAAACTATTGCTGCAACGAAAACCTGGTTAGGTAGGAGATAATATAACTTAAGCTCTGATACCACATGTAATACTTAATGAGTTATAAAACCAAACACACTAACCTTGTGCAGCCATAGAGTCGAATAGAGAGCACGATAGAAATAGAGAGATCTTCTCCTAGAAGCCGATGCCTTATGCTCTAATTCTAGATGGGGTGAATATGTGTATAAGCTTGTATAAGCTAGAATATCACCTCAGTGAGTTTAAGACATTAAACAATCTTACAAATAGGCCTTTTGAATTGGCGTCATTTATATGTGTCTACTTACTTGCTCTGTAAATTACAATGAGATTAACACATTATTTATGCAGATGCTGTTATCAAACAAGCAAACTGGGACACATCTAAAGTAAGGGATAAACTTAGACGTGATATAGAAGCCCATGTTGCTTCAGTTCATGCTGACAAGATAAAGGACCATTGTGAGGTATGATAGCATATTTTTGTTCATTCTCTCTTCTGGGGTTACTGGTTTTCATCAACCCGAGCCAGAATTTTGTTGAGCTAATTTTGTTGCTTAAGTTAATTTTGTTGCTCCAAAAGAAAGATAAAGGCCCATGTTGCTTAAATTAATTTTATTAAGGACATTGATTGCTTACGTTGTAACAGATTCCATGTAGTGTCTATTGTTGACAAAGTTGTCATAGGAACTTGGTTGATGAAGATGTAACAATAAAATGCAGGCAAAGTTGAGGGGGCTGTTATCAGGACCGGTGGAAGTCCTTTTGAAGCAAGCTAATAATAAGACCTGGCCCACAATAAGAAGACGTCTTCGAGAGGCAGAATTAGCTTTCTGTAGGAGCGCTGTTGAAATTTCTGGTTTTGACATGGATGAACAAACCAAAGCCAAAATAGATGCAAGTCTAGAGAAATATGTAAGACGTATGGTTGATGCTAAAGCAAAGGAAGAGGCTGGAAGGGTCCTCATCCACATGAAGGAGAGGTAGGGAACTCTCTCTCTCACAATGGTTTGAACGTTATTTAAGATTTTATTGTATGCAATTGATATTTGAATTGCCTTTACAGGTTTATAACAAAATTTAGCTACGATTCTAATTCAATCCCACGTGTTTGGAACCGGCCGGAAAATATTGGAGCGATCGCCAGAACTGCTCATTCTTCAGTATGGCTCAATTTTTATCAATTTTTATTGACAGTTCTTGAGAGTTTGAATTTGAAGTTTGAATTTGTTAACTATATATATTCATATTGTGTAATTTTTTCAGTCGCTAGAAGTGCTTTCTGTTATGGCTGTGATCCGTTTGGATGGTGATGATGATGGTGATAAAATTCAGCCAACTTTAATTAGTGCCTTGCTGGATAAAGATAGGAGTACCACAACAAATGACCAACTGGCTTCAAATACTTGGGAAGAGGTGACCCTTCTTTTGTGCCTTTTTTTTTTTTGCTTAATTTAAAGATAGATATCTCTCTATAAAAAAAGATAGATAGGAGTATCACATCATAACCCAGCTGCTCCTATTAGTGACCAAGATACTGATATTTATTTATTAATTAATATATTCAATTATATCCAGTTTTATTTTTATTTTTTTATACAAAAGATATTTTACTTTAATCTAAACTACGAGGAGGTGGTTTCGAACTTGGGTGCAGAGTGAAGAACACATTCTCTCTAGCCAACTTGACTAAGCTCATATCTGTATATCCAGTCTTAATTTATTAATATTCAAAGATATTGCATACTAGATTATGAAAAAAAATATTTACAAATAATATTGAGAGGGCTGGAGCAGGCCGGGCCGCATTGAGCTTGAGTTTAAACACTTGACCTAATCCCCCACCCCACGCAAGGCCAGCTCTCCCATGGCTATAGTATAGGCCGAAACGGACTTTGACCCATTGAATTTGGGCCGGCCCTTAAGCTCTCTCTCTCTCTCTCTCTCTCTCTCTCTCTCTCGTAAGACCACATATAAGGTTTTCTGACTTTCCCCTTCCTATACAGGTTCCATCATCAAAAACGTTGATCATACCTCTTAAATGCAAAGAGTTGTGGGAGGAATTCAAGGAAAACACCAAGGACATTGTTTCGAAGGCCGTTGCTGAACAGGTATGATATCTCACCTATTAATAAATGGAAACAATATGTGAACTATAAATAGTTTTGTTTTGTCTCCCATGATGTGTTATTTGATCGCCTGCTGTTATGGAACTACGGTTAAAGTCTATTTCAGGTTTTCATTAGGTTTAGATAAACTTCCTCATGAATGATGCGTTTCATTAGCTTAAAAATCTCTCTGACTTTAACTTACTCACACTCATACCTAGTCCATTAATTCAACATGTTGTTTTACTTTTCAGAAGGCCAACGCGCGTTTTCAACTACCTCCTTGGGCAATTGGCTGTTTGATTTTCGCTGGATACAATGCCATTACGAGACTAATGAGGTACACACTAGTTCCCCTACACTACACAGGAGGATATAGAGATGTTCTTTCTACCATATATATAAAGTTTTATATATCCAGTACAAGTACCTCTACCATGTTCAAATTTATTCCTCCATGAATGCATAAATCCTTTGTATCTGGGTGTGGGTGTCATCCTTGTTGTTTTTTTTACTCGTCACGCCCATATGGTGCTGGTTTGCAACTAGGGGTCTCTGGTGAAATCCACAAGGGTTCTGTGAGTGAGTGTCACATTTTGTTTTAATTATATTGTCTGTCACTCTCCCTACTCCTTCCCCCCTTAGTACTATACGTATAGACACTGGTACTACTTGTATAGCATGCTTTTCGCCTCCACTGCTAGTGATTTTGACACTCCTCCTTGTTTCACATCGTGCACTCAGGTGAGTGTAGAAAGAAAAAAAAAATTATTTAGTTTGGAGTGCAGCTGGCTAAAACAGGAGTGCCAAAATTACTGGTTTTTGGGGATTCTGGAATAGGTCTAGTTATGTACTGAGTCCTTAACTTGCTCATTCATAATAATAGTTTTGTTATGATTTCAGGTGAGGGTAAAGAGTGAGAACACAACTATATAGTGGACTTGGCGGTACGCTCTTGGAGAAATGGTTGCAGCGCCCCGATCGACTTTATTTCAATCAACGAACAAAAACTAAAAACTAAAAAATATTGAGCTCAAGTCCCGAATAAGTGACCTCTCAATTCAACTGGTTTTGAATAGTAGAGGTGGAATTGTTGTACTGTTGTATTATTAATTATGAATTTTGATTTGTACTGTAACAAGGGACAAGTATGTGTGTTGTATTGGAATTTTGAATTTTATTTTGTATTGTTATTTCTTGTTCTAAATTGAAGACTCCAACTATATAGCTGTCATACTAAATTTATTTGTTTTAGTCTGTAACGATTTCTTGCAACTTAATTTAATCTATGTTAAATTGCAATTTTTTATAGTTAGTTTTAGTTTTAGAAATAATATTTTCGACAAACTTTATCTTATGGTACTTGCAAGTTTTCTTGGGATCTCAAGCCCCATTCGCTGTCCCCAACGGTTCTTGCTTCATGTGACTCTTTGTTGCCAAGCACTGACGCTGACTTTTCTGATGGTCCCAAGTTCCAGACTTTTCCGATGGCCTTTGTTGAGTCAAAGAATGTTGTCTCGGTGTTACAGAGTACCGACCCGCCTCAATTCCATGCCTTTTCATCTCTGGTAAGCGAACAAGTTGAAGATTCGCTGGTAAGGGCAGTGTGTTTTGCTAGGACTCCACAGTCTGCTATTGGGGTGAGTTGTATTTCGGCTGTGCACAAGACGCAATTTTGGGAGGGCTTTGAACCCATTACTGAGCAAACTCTAGTATCATCCTATCAGAGTTCTTCCAAGATTGCAGAAATCAAGATTCCTGCTCAATATTGGGTCCAAGAGTCGGGCGCCAGCCCTGCACTCCCACTGTTTGTTGAAATGCCTACCTCGGCTGTGTTATGCAATGCTTGTCCTGGCGTTCTTGATTTTGAGATGGATTACTAGATGGGCATTCGTGACAAAGGGGGAGGTTTCATTTGGTGTATTTGGAGGCATGAACTGAGGAGGGTAAGGTACAGGCTTACTCTCATTTCTTCTTTTTCTTGTATGAATGCATCTACATCTGCCCAGGAGTGGAGATTGCTCTGTTTCCATGGTGGCTATGCCGATGATTTTGAGTTTGACTATCATATGGGTATTCAGCCACAATCCTTTTAGGCTCATTGGAGTTGGATTATCTGTTTGGACATTTGCCACAGCTGCTTGTGGTAGTTCAATATGTCGTATGCTGGTTGGAGTTGGTGAGGCATCTTTCACAAGTCTTGCAGCGCCGTTCATTGATGACCATGCTCATGCACCTCAGAAAACAGCATGGCTTGCAATGTTTTAGATGTGTATACCAACTGGAAGGCGGTTCTGTGGGCTTTGCAAATGGGATTTTCTTCTCACTCCACCCCCTCTGCGATTTCCTCCCAGCCTGCAAGTTGCAACGAACCCTCTGATTAAGCAGGGGACCCGGGGGGGAGGGTGGGGAAATTTATTATTGTTTGCTAGCTTTCTACTTATGGCAATTTCGTGGGCTTTGCAAATGGGGAAATGATGGCGTATGCCATCTTTGTCAAAAAGCAGGGGACAAAGAGGGAAGTGGTGTCAAAAAGCAGGGGAATAAATATCCCATTATTGGTCATCACCATTGAAGCTTCCTTCAAAGGTCAGAAGGGTACGTGTACCGAAATTCTCAGTAGGCTCAGAGGGACCATGAAGGAAGACAGACAGGAGATTCAAGTTGGTTTGAAGAATACAGATAGTTCTGAGCAAATCTTTCTCACTGTTGCGTCGATTTCACAAATTTTCCCATTGTTGCAATTATGCTACGCATCCACGCCTCACATTCGTTTTACAACTTCCCACTTGTTTAACTGGCCTGTAAAAAAAAAAACCTAAAAAATTCATGTAACAATAATTTGGGCCAATATTCAACACATTATGCATCGCAGGGCCATAAATATGTACAACAAATGAAATAAGTATTCGAAACTGTTAGCGAGAGTTTAATTTTAATTTTTTAATTTTTTAATTAATTTAATACAAAAAATACCATTTTGCCCCTGCATTTAATAGAAAAGTTAACAAAATTGACGGAAGACCATTTGTCTTAACGAAACTGAAGTTGAAGGACCACAGGAACAATTTTGGAAATTGAGAGACTCAAATGCAAATCGGGTCTAAGTTTAGGGACTAATAAAACGATTACCCCTTAGTTGGGTTGTTGAATTGTATTGTGTTTGTTGAGTAATAAAGATAATTCTCTCTATACACGAACGGGGTTCTATTAGAAACGAAGCTATGTTAAAAATTGATTGAAGGAGGCCAAACTTGTTTTCTTAGATCTTTTATTTTTTATTTTCCGCCTGGAAAGAATCCTAAGTTTGAAAAATGACAACTCTCTTTTCTGGGAGTTTTGCATGGCAGCACTGACTGTTAATTAAGTGTTTATACTTCCACTAGGTCATTTCTATTCCCAATATTCTATACCCTTATCGTATTTGTCACATCTCGAGATCGGCTCCGCCGTAGCACGATATTGTCCGCTTTGAGCCCCCCTCTCTGTCTTCACGGTTTTGTTTCTGGGAACTCACGAGCAACTTCCCAATGGGTCACTCATCCTGAGATTGCTCTAACCCCAACTCGCTTAACTTCGGAGTTCCCATGAATCTGAAGCCAGTGAGCTCTCAAAAGGCCTTGTGCTAGATGGAGGCGGGCATGTACATATAAGGCACATCACCCCCTCTCCGTTGGTCAATGTGGGATTTTACAGTATTTGTCTTGTGCATGCAAGGATGCATGGGAATTATATTAGGTAAGATAAAAATTAAATTTCGATAAACTTTAAGGTAGTAAAGTGAAATCTAGCCTATTATGTATCACAACCACGGGCGGAATCATGAATTTTTTTTAAGGATGATTTATGAATGAAGATCTAAAAATAAATAATTTGGATAATTAGAAAAGAAATTATAAGATATTCTAAATAATGTGCTTCAAATAAAATTATTTGAGGAATCTCTCGTTGATATATATATATATATACATATAAGAGCTTAATTTTTGCTTTTTCTTTGCGCCCTGCCACCAACGCAAGTCAAAATCTCCCTATCACAAAACTGCAAAGGTTCTAAACCCACTAAGTGTCAAAATCTCCCAATGTTCTAATTCTAAACCCACATTGCAAGCCGGTTGGCCGCTTCAGAAATCCAAAAAAACATCTCCCTATCACAGAGGTACTAAACCCACCGTGTGTCAAAATCTCCCTACGATACGCGCGTATGCTGTTCTATTTTGTGTTTTTGGTTTGTAGATGTGTTCTTAGTTGGCAAGATTTTAGTGGTGCGTGTGCTGACATGTTGCTCCTGCTGTTGCTGTATCGGCCCTTCTCCTTCACATACTCCCCAAAAAAATGTTGGCACTTGCTCAAAAATGTTACCATTACGTGCTTGCGACAGTGACGTGCAAGCTAATGGTGCTTTTGTGATCAAGCTTTTGACTTGCGTAAATGGCGGCGTGGGTGGGTAACTTAGGGTTGCCTTGCGCTGCGTTGGTAGTTGAGGGATACTTTTCTCTATCAGCCTTCTTTGGGAGAAATTTTTATATGTTCCAGGTACACCACGTGGCTGGTGTACCATCCAATAGACGAAGGACATATGGAATATTTCCAATACAGCCCGCCAGATGTCATAAAAAGAAATGCAGTAAGTTAGACAATAATTCCACATGTCCTATGTTTATTGGATGGTACACCAGCCACGTGGTGTACCTGGAACATATAAAAATTTCTCCCAAAGAAGGCTGATAGAGAAAAGTATCCCTCAACTACCAACGCAGCGCAAGGCAACCCTAAGTTACCCACCCACGCCGCCATTTACGCAAGTCAAAAGCTTGATCACAAAAGCACCATTAGCTTGCACGTCACTGTCGCAAGCACGTAATGGTAACATTTTTGAGCAAGTGCCAACATACAAGGGGCTGTTTGTTGTTGTGAGGAAGCCCCCATTAACTAGTTATTATTTTTTGGGTCTAGGCGAATTATGTTATCCTTTCATATCAAATTCAGGGTTGAGCAATTTGATTGGTTTCTGAGGGGACGTATTCATTTCCCAAATAAATAAAGTAGCTCAATTGTCTTCGACCAGTTTCGCCGATAATTTTCTTTATGTGGCAAGTGGCACATGGTTAAGTTTTGCATTCCACATGTCCGCGTTTTGCCATGTCATTTCTTAATTTTTAATTACCCTAAACTCATAATCACACGTATTTTTAATTTATGACATCCAAATCATCATTTGACCTCAATAAAATTTAAATGTTTTCTTGCATACTTTTTAATCAACCACGAATAATATAAATCTAAATAAACTCCCAAATATTCCATTAAATTATCTGAAAATTTGTAAAACACCTTCTAAGCACCTTAACATTTTCCGAGCCTCACACGTTGTGGGTTCTTTGTTTTTTCTTCAAATTTTAATTTTGTTTAGAATAAACCTTGTCAAAGTTTGAGTCTAGAAAATTTTTCCTTTTCTTCAAATTTTTTTACCTTGTTAAAATTTGGATTTGGTGGATTTTTCTTCAATTTTTTCCCATGTTTTATTTATTTATTTTTTTAGGCTTAAATGTCAAAATGGTTCAAATATTTTTTTCATTTGGCCAATTTGGTCCATGTATTTTCAATTTTACCAATTTAGTCCTCGTGTTTTAATGAGTTAACCTATCTTTTCCATCCAGTCAAATTAACGTTAAAAAATTCATAATTATTTAAATCGGACCGGACTGGTTGTGTATTATATTATTTTTTTTACAAAATTATTTGAATCCAATGCTACATTTTTAAAACAAAACAATGTTCATTGATTTTGTTTGATTTTGGCCTATTGAATTATTGAAATTTTAGTACTTTTTTAAAACACTGTGTTCATTGATTTTGTAGGACACAATTGGATATCGAAACGATTTCCGATTTGTCTAATTTTTTGCAAGAATGATCTATGAATGTAGACTTAAAACATAGATGGTTTGGATCATTGAAAAAATATTTGTAGGGGACCCTAAAGGATGTAAAATTATTTGAGGGATCCCTCAATAGAAGGGAACTGTATATATATACAGAGCTTCCATTGAGAGATCCCTCAAATAAGCTTATTTGAAGGACACCCTTGTAGAGCCCACTTCGTATTGTATTTTAAGAATCCAAACCATCTATTTTATAGATATTCATTCAAAGATCATCTCTACAAAAAATCACTTGAATCTGATATTATTTGACCACCCAATT